CACACACACACACACACACACACACACAGCTCCCCTTATTCCTCAGAAGGCTTGGTTTCCAGACCAAGATCATCCTGGTCGCCTTTCTCAGGACACTTGTAGTAAAAGGATGGAGTCACATTAGTGTAGTGGCAGGAAACTCATAAGGTCACCATAGGTCGATAAGCGACTTGAAATCACACAGAGACACACACAGAGTACCCCACTAGGTATCCCACTAGGGAAGTAATAGTAGGTACCTGGGAACAGTTATGCTTTTGGTGAGTACGATGCTACGTGTGAATTGCTGCAAGAAATAAACTCTTGGGCATTCAATGGGGTTTATTGGCAGGTTCGGTGTGTTTAGGATTGCACCCTATAACACTTTGCAACGAACAGCCCCGATCCTAATCATTCAACAGGGAGGCTCATTGGACGTTTCCACAGTGCAGAATTAAAGCGGTTTGGCATCACTTTAATTGCCATGAGTCTATTCTACAGAATCCTGGGATTTGTAGTCTGGTGAGGTATTCAGCTTGGTCTGTCAGAGAGCTCTGGTGCCTCGGCGTACTATGAATCCCAGGATTCTGTAGGATAGAGTCATGGCAGAATTCCAGTGGTATCAAAACTGCTTTATTCCAGTGGTGTCCAACTGCTTTAATTCTGCACTGTGGATACTACACCCATTGTCTTCAACGTCGCTTGCGTCCTACAAGTGCGTTGGGCGTTGTTGCGGTTTTGAACACACAGGCTGAGAAGTAAACTTCCATGACTGAACCCTATGGGACTGCAATCCCAGGTACACTTTGTCGTGTGCCTTCAAGTCGTTTCCGACTTATGCCGGCTCTAAGGTAAACCTATCACTGCCTTTTCTTGGCAAGATTTATTCAGAGGTTTGCCTTCCCCTGAAGCTGAGAGAGTGTGACTTCCTCAAGCTCACCCAATGAGTTACATGGCTGGGAATTGAACCTTGGTCTCCAGAGTTGTAGTCCGATACACAAACCACTACGCCAGGACTCTTACTTGGAAGTAAGTCCGATTGAACTCAATGGGAGTTTAATTCTGCAGGAAGAACAGGGCTGGAAAAGGTAGGAGAGGCTGGGGATATCCAGTCCCTCTGAAACAAGTAATGAATTAATTTCTCAGTCCCATTTTTAATAAAAATTTTAAAAAAATGTTCAGCAGCACTGGAAATCTAGTCCTCAACCAGTGGTTCCCAAACTTTGGGTGTTTTGGACTTCAGTTCCCAGAAGCCCCAGCCAACTTGGCCAACTTTCAGAAATTATGGGAGCTGAAGTTCAAAACATCTGAAAGACACTACTGACTGAATAAGTTCTCCTCTAAGCATCCCCTGAAGCTGAGAGAGCCATCGTGGTTTAGTGGCTTGAATGCTGAACCTTGAGAATCCAGGGTTCGAATCCCATTGGAAATCCATTGGGCGACCTGGGACAAGTCACACTCTCTCAGCCTCAGAGAAACCAGGCAATCGCCAACCTCCTCTGGCACAAAGCTTGCCAAGAAAACCCGCGATCGGGTCGCCATAGGTCGGAAATGGCTTGAAGGGACTCAACAAGCACTACTTTAACCGCCTTGGTGCTCTGGTGCCACAACAAACTACATCTCCCAGAATTCCATAGCATGGAGCCATGGCGGTTAAAGTGGTATCAAACCGGATTATTTGTCCAGTATGGATGCAACCTAAGTCTCCCTGATTCCAGACCCGCGTCCTTCCTTGGCAAAAGCAGGGAGACGAAGTGTCTTTGCCAAGTAACCCTCACCCCCAGGCTCTAAATGTAACTTTCCCAAAGTTAAGTCAAGTCACGAAATCAAACTTAAAGCGGGGAACAATCAATGAAAGCTTGTTTTCCCCCTTCTTCTTTCTTTGTTTTGCAATCTGCTTCTTGGCACTAAGAGAAATGCAAGAAATCGAA